AAAAAATGTAAAGTTAATATCCTTATTTCTATATTTTTCTCCTAGAAGATGTTTCCATAGACTGTTTCAACTGATAAAATTTAACAAACTAAGTTAAAGGTTTCATATTAAAAATCTTGAAAATGGTGGAGAGAAATATGTGAGGCTTGAATTAGCCAAACCAAAATTGATAAATAACACTTATATCTAACTTAAAATTGATTGATAGTAAGTGAAGTAGGCTTTCTTATATTTAAGTCATATATTTCATTTTTTTCATTTTAGGTTGCAAAATAGTAGATAATCCTTTCTCGTCTCTTAATTCACCACATCCGCATGTTTTAAAATTCAAACTTGAGACATCTTATTTCTAATGAATAAAAATTATCATTAAATTATTTAAATCGTTTGTAACTCATATATATATATATTACTTTTCAAATATGAATTTTCCCACATAAATAATAGAGAGAAATAGATATTTTTCTAATATAAGGTTTCCCAATCTAGCAAAATTATATGTTAAAAAAATCCTTTTATATTTGGACACATCTAAATTCTAATGTAATTCCACTGTTTAACTTTAATAGATTTTTTTTTAAATGTTTGGCTATGAAATTTAACCGTTTACTTTTTTTTAAGATGTCATTTAATTTGTTTATTTTTATTTTATCCCTAATTTTAAAAAAATAGTTATAACATATATTAAATAAAAAAAATTAATTAAGTCGCATTTAATTAAAAATAAAAATAAGAATAAAATTTTATGAATAAACCACTATACATTTATTTTATTAGATAAAAAAAATTAGACTTAATTAATACTAAAGTTGAACAGAGGAAGTAACTAGACTATGATGATATGTTATTTATTGAAAAAAAGAAAAAAGAAAGAAGGAAAAACTAGGCCTAGAACGAAGGGAATAGTTAGACCATGATAAACTGTACACACACCTAATTTTCTCCCAGAGAAGCACTTACCAAAACTTTCTGTTACCAGGAAGGATAGCTGAGTACACCCAACCTAACTTTCTTAGTAACAACAAAATGAAAATATAATAAATACTTCTCCCAATGCCTCTTGGTGCTACTGCTGAGACCATATTACGTTTTCACAATTCCCTTTCTACCACCACACCATCTCAAGCCTTCAACAATGGGAAGCCTCTCGGTACGTTAATTTTTCTCTTTTAGATTTCTGAAAATTTTCATCCATCTTTATTAGAAATATATGTTCATTAAAAGCTCTTTCAATCTTTCAGATACATTCATAATTTTTTGGTTTATTACTATTTCAGTTGGCTGCTTCTGATCTTGAAAGGAGTGGAGCAGTTGGGAGCGGTCCAACATTGCTATGTACGCCACTGATGGGAACCACCATTGATCAAATGCTGATTGAGATGCAGAAGGCCAAGACTATTGGTGCCGATATTGTTGAAATCAGGCTTGACTGCCTTAGAAACTTCAATCCCCGCCAGGATCTCCAGACTCTCATCAAGCAGTCACCACTGCCCACTCTAGTCACTTACAGGTAACTCTCTCGGTCTAAAACTAATCACTTAAAACTTAATTAGGAGCCCGGCCGATTTGGAATGGTCGTTCCTATGTTTATAAAAATGTTGAATCATCAAATTATATAAAGAACAGCAAAATAAGAGTCACTAGATGATGGCAGCCTCAAATATAAGGGTCATCTCATCCAATGATTTATATTATATAGTCTAGAATTATACTTTTTTGTTATATAAAAAAATTTTAAAAAAAATTGTATAGCTCATACTACACAATTTAAATCATGAAATAAGAGGTGACTCTTGATATTAGAGTTATTTTTCATATCTAATGGTTCATGTTTTACTATTCAGTACAATCTAAATTATAAAATATGACACTTAATAATTATTATTAATTTTATAAATGAATAGAAGAGTGAGAATTAAAATGCCTTAATATTAAAAATATTAAGAAATCTAATCTTAACTACAAAATTGATAAAATTTAAGTGAGATTTATATTATATTTTATTTATCTTGTGATTATGATTAGACATATATATTTTAATGTCAAGATATTCTATTTTTTCACATCCTCGTAAATTAATATAAATTATACTAACAATTTTTTTTAGTTTATCCTATAATTAAAAATATTAATCTAAAATAAAAAAACAAAATATCCTTAATAGATCAAGAATGCATGGAGATTCATTAACAATATTTTTGTCTTTTGAATCTAGACTAATATTTTTAAATTAATGCAGTCCATCCAAAAAAAAAAAAAAAAATTCTCAGTTACTAAATTGGAAAGTCTAGTAGCAAAATTTTTACTCTGACAACTATAAATTTTCAAATTCAGCAATTGGTGCTCCCGAAGCTGAGCTCATCTTCTGGAAAAAAGCTGGAAGTGCTTTTACTCTGCAATAAAAATTTTATAAATTACCATTCAGCTTCTAAATGCTTGTCTATATAGGTAAACCGGGCATTTCTTACAAAAACATGATCAAACAAAAGTGTTAAAAAGCTCAAAAAAAAAAAAAAAAAAAAAAAAACAGCAACAACTCTGTAACTTTTACTAAACTTTGCTAAAATCTTTAATTATTAAATGGCGACTTGTTAATTCAACCGTATAAAATTTGACGCTTTAAAAGTGAATGGGTACATTGGAGATTTTTCGTCGACATTCCCTCCTTGTACAGTTGTACTCGCTACGTGTTTCTTTGCGTGGATGTGTGTTTTTTCTTCCCTTTCTTTGGTTTAAAGTAAAGATGGTAATTTCCTCCGGTCCCACAGGACGGGGATGGAACGCATTTTCTCCTTTGAGAATTCGTAGAAAACTTTTTGCCTCTCGCGGGTCCCGTAGGATTTTGATGTCTGTGAAAAATTTTAAAAATATGGAAATTAATTTTATTTTAAATTTAATTTAATCTTTAAATTTAAATTTAATTCAATAAAATTTAAATTTAACTTAATTTTATCCCCTTTATTATTTTCTTTTAATTATTATATTGAATTAATTTTTATTTATATTTGAATTTTATTTAAAAAATTTTAATTAATTATACTTAAATTTTTAAAATTTTATTTATTATAATTAAATATTAATTAATTATATATAAAAAAATTATCCTTAAATCATTTTCCAACCTTTAACCATATGGCAATATAACCAATTAACAACCTTTGATCCCAAAAATTTTCTTCTCAG